TGGTAAAATTAAAATAAATAAATAAATAAATAAATAAATAAATAAATAAATAAATTAAATTAAATTAAAAAGTTCTAAAAAATCTACTTAAAAATTTTTAAAAAATAATACTTATGTACTAGTTACTTCTTATAATATATAGACATTGTTGACAGCAATAACCAAGCTCTATAGAAATAATAATTAATATAGTTTATTCCAAGCACAAATGTGAGTGACCAAGGCCTGGAAGAACAAAAGCGTTTCAGGGTACTTAGATGCCATAGCTCTTTTATTCAATTCCAAGTGCAAGAGAAACATACAAATTTGTAAATCCGTTTAAGGACTCTTCTTTGTCCTGTCCCAAAAAGGCAGGGTATCTGAAAGCCAGGGCTTACAGGTTTTTTAGAAATTCTTTAGCTAGTAATTGGTTAAAAACACACGTCTTTGCCTCCCAAAGGCTCAGTCAACAGTAAGGGTGCCTGAGTTTAACAGAGCTAAGAAGGTTTTCTTCTGTATCACATAATGTTATATGCCAGGATCAGGATGTAGGGAGCATCCCACAGTCACTGGACCAAAGCCGTCTGTTACAGTAAGATTAATGCTATAGATGTGACTCCTTCAGTCCTCTTAGAAAGTATCTTAGAATAAAAAGAGTTATAAGAAATTTGTCCTCAACATAGCTCTATGTGCTTTAGTAATTTTCTCATTTACATATCTCAATTTGTCGGGTAGTGAGTATCACTCTACTTGATTCTGTTTACTTGTTTTCTTCACTAAAGTACAAACACTTTAGAGATAGCCACTGACCTTATACATACTTGATTTCTTAGACACTAGTGCCATTCTTTACATATAGAACATACCCAATAAAAGTTTGAATTAAATGAATGGGTTCTAATTAGGAGATGCCTATGGTATGGGTACGACATGGAGACAAGATTTGAAAGATTGTCTTAAATCTCGGGGAACAAATGCAGTCTTCTTCCATGATACTTATCCCTTTAACTCAGGAATTTAGAAAAGGTGGTAGATTGAATTCTTTTTCTGTTCTTCATGATATTATTTTTCACTATATTAGAGATAAATCATGCTTTTTTTCCCAAATGACAGAAGTCAGTCAGGCTAGTTAGATATCTTAATAGATAGCATAGATTTAAGAAATTTAATATGCTTTGATTTATTCTTGAATTTTGATTCATTTTATTGACCGTATTCACATTAGAGATTTCACTCCATTTTTCCATGCATTATAAATTCAAAATATTGGAAAGTCTCTTGATGGCAAAGAGATCAAATTTGTCTAAAGTGGCCATCTCTATTTTCCATCTATTTGAAAAGATCGGTTAAGTGTTTTTCTCAGCCATACCTAGACTTCTGGAAAATGGAAATCGACTCTTTATTACAGCCTTGGCTTTGTTTTATCTGTGAGTACAGTTGTCTACTTTTCTCACTTGTTTTTATTCAAGGCTTACTTGCTGCCTCCCTACTCCCAATTTCTTAGGGAATTATAATCTCCATACCTTTTCTTCTGTCATGTTTTATTTTGTTTTCTTCTTTTCTAGCACCTGGACTAAGCTGATGTTATTCTTAGTCACCTGGTTATTATACATTGTTAAATGATGTAATTTCAGGGAGCCAAAATTTCTAATGCTTACATTTGCAATTATTATGGGTTATATGAATAACTTAGATTTTGTAAATTACTGTACTCTATACCTTCATACCTGATAAATTTGAAATTTTTAAAATTTCTACTATCTTTAATGAGATGCTCTCTTCATATGCTATTGCTTTCTCCAGATGTTTAAACTGATACTATTTCTGTAACTTTTATAATATCTGAGGTTTTGAGGCTGGCAGGTGGCATGGTGGGTAAGGCTCCAGACTCACCCATGACCAACCGTGGTTTGAGTCCCAAACCTGGTGGCTTGCTTTCTTCTCTTTCTGTATCTCTTTGGTCAAATTGAAGAATAATAGTAATAAATAAAGTTAAATAATTCTTTTTTTAAAAATCTGAGGCTTTTCAAGCTTCTATTTAAAGAATGAAGGATGGATATGACTTAGAAAAGAGGTAAATGTTACAAAAAAAGGTCCCCTATATAGCTTACTTGAATTTTACTAGGTTTAGGCAATGTATAAATAGAAGCTACCCGTGGAAGAACAAAACATTATGGACTATGGAATATATAAGAAGCCAAGTAATTATATGACTAATTTCTCAGACAGCCCTTTAGACTATTTTAGCATAATGTTTAATTAAGCCAGGTGCAATTTTCTTTACTGCAGCGGAGCAGGGATGATGTTTTACGTACACTTTGAGGAGAGACATATTTCCACAGACATTTATGAACACCATCCATCTTGTAGGTGTCACTCCTTCTACTCTTGAAACCTGGTATCACCTGTTCCTGGTCTATTGACTGAGAATCACCATGATCTTGTCTCTTCTAGGGGATAAATTGTTCCTTACAATATAAATATCACAGGAGAAATCTTGATTATACTTTTAACTTCTATTCTCTACTCTAGTCCCCATGAACTTGAAACTTTCACTCTGGTTTTACAAATGGTCAAATGTGATGACATGGAAATATAAATTGTGTGTAAGTGTATGTGTATGTAAAAAGAGACTTTTGGAAGTCGTAAAGATAGGCATCTTGATGACTTTAATAACACTGAGGTCAGTCTTTCTTTTGATGCAAAAATAAAGCTCTGTTCGTTTTCATATCCAAGACACTTTGAGAAATAAGTAAGCATATCTTCTGCACATATGCATTTGCTGTTTTGAGTGGATCTCCCATGAATTACTATCATATATTTTACAAAGCTGCTGGGTTTTCCCTTCATGGATATTAGCATTATTAAATGCACATTTTGTTTTAAAGCCTCCTTTTGTCAGGCAGTGAAAACAATGGTTAGTTCAGGAGCTTAAATTCTAGGATATAGAGCTCTCAGATTCACTGACACGCCCAGAGTAAAGATGCATTCTGGTTTGAAATAGTTAATATTGATGAACACATGTACTCATTGTGAATTAAAAAAAAAAAAAGAAATTTCTTCTACATCATTGAAATGACTAATTTATTATTTTAAATTAAAGTCTCTTAAAAAAGGTTATACAAATGAGACTAGGTAGAAATCTTCTGTATTTTATAGCCCCTCCCTTTTTTGTCTTAATTTTCATTTGGCCTTGTTGGTATTCTAGAAGTGGTAGAAAAACATCAACTCTGCATATTTCATTTATAATGTAAATTATTTAGCCTAAACCTGCAGAAAGTATGTCTTTTGAATAAAGGGAAGCAGATGCTGTAACATTTCTGCCAGAGAGTCCGGTTTAAAATTCTGCAGTATGCAAATGTCATCTTGTCTATGTGAGTGTTTTACCCGAGTGGATGCTGCAGGGTTGGAGACTTCTGCCTGTGATTTAGGTTGTAATTTTATTTGAGGAAATAAACCAATCGCAGAGCTCCAATTGTCTTAGCGATGAGGTGATCAATAGCCCATTACTGGATAGAACAGCGGCTACAGGAAGTGCATTGAAGATTTTAATGCATGAATTATGCATGCGGTGCTCATTCTTTAGTCTCTGGACAGAATGACAGGGTTTGTGAAGTCGCCTCAGATAGTTTTTTGCATTAAGTGACTGCAGTGAAATGCTCAATATTTTCAGACATAGAAGCAGCATTGACTCGGGCCAGCCGAATTTGGAAGATGTAAATCCCCCAGCTCACAGCACAGAATGCGTTATTTGAAAGTATCGCTATGTAGAGAGCCAGCTTTGCTGTCCTCTAACCTGCTCTCCTCAGAAGGTTGGCTGAAGGATGGGAGCGGCTGTGCCTGCTTCTGAGGTCACAGCTTGAAGTCCTTTTAACTTGCTTTCTGCTGCAGGAGAGAGGCTTATTGTGGTGTAACTGTCGCTGTATTTATTCAAATGGACAATTTGCAATAGATATTATACCCAGCACGGCAGATAGTGCAACATATGAGGTAAGTCCCAGGCTTCGGTCTAGCTTAGGTAATTGTAAGCTAGAATGTGCTGAATTAGGGGAACAGCGATGCGGTCTTAGGAAGGTGGACTCAAACCTTGGTACTATTGCAATGCCGCGCTGCAGGGCTCTCGATTGTTATGTTAATCAAGACATGGCTTTATTTTATTTGTTTAGCAGTATTGGATCACAGGTATTTTATTTTGCATGCAAAAGCTTTTCAAGAATGTTTCAGGGCTCAGATTTGTGTGTCTTGTATAGATGGAAGACTGCAAGCTGGGGAGGGGCAGCCCTGGGAGTGAGCTGAATCCGTAAGTGAGAATTACCTCCTGGTGAAGTTTCAGCAGGGCTGTGGCTTTGCTTTGGCTCAGATGGTTTCCTTAACATAAATGTGTTCAAATTCTATTATGGTAAAAGATGTTGGTAAAAAAACAAAAACATTCAATCCTTCTCCCAGAAGTAGAGTAAATCCTGAGGTACTCGAACTCAAGTATTGTGTTTCATACAAATGGAGCAGATGGAATTAAAACATTTCAGACTAGCATGTCCTTGAGGGAAGACCTTGTTGTCAGAAATGAAACAGTTTAACTCCTACCTGTAGTGGCTTTGTAGGTTTTCTTTCATGTCAAAAATGCCTTACTCTGAAAGGTATGAATAGATGTCATATTGTGAATTTACCCCAAAAGGAGTTTTAATTCTTTCTGGATGTTTTGAAAATTAAGCTTATACAATTGTAGAACCTACTATATAGAAGCCAAATAAAATTTACAAAAACTCTGCAAAACTAAAAAATATAGGACTATTCAACTATATGTGTCAAAAGTCCTTATGAATTAAAGCTTACTTGCATATCATGACAAAATATTAATAAGTATGCAAATAATGTTCAGCATGATATGAATCCCTGAACATCCCTTTAGGATAAGAAAGTAGCAGTAAAAGACTCTATATATAGAAAAATTCTTTAAGGATGCTTTCCAACAATAAATGTATAATATTAATAAATACATACACACACACACATACACACACACATATATATATACACCATAAAGCATAATTTATAAAACATATAATATAGTGTGTACATTCTCATATATCTGCTTTCTTAAATATGTTTATGGATACTAAGGTTTAAAAATTACATTCATTAAATTATCTGTCAAGGATCAATAATAGGTAAGTCCAACTATGTTTTGTAAAATAAGCATCATTTTATTTAAAAGAAAAAAAGAAAAAAATGCAGAACAATGTTAAGAGCTCAGAAAAACTACTTTTTAAGCATTTCACAGTGCATTTCAATTCTGTTCGGGTGTTACTACATTCCGTGGGTTTCCTGTCAACTGCCTGGCAGTGTTGGGCACAGAACTCCCAGAGTTATAGAATGACTTTACATCTACAAAGCTGGTGTAGTTCAGATATAGGAGGAAACTCACAGGTGGAGTCTTTCCTTGTGGGGAGAGCAAGGAGGAAGTAACTGCCTGTAGATCTTAGAGGTCTCCTGATGCTGAGTCATGGTGTTCAATTCTGCTCAATGCCTCCTGCCAAGGTGGCCCATTAACAACTAGTCAAATGAAATCTACAGGGAAATGAGGAAGAATGGAGGGGGGTAGGTACTTGAAGATATTTATTGCCTAATGAAGCATACTAAATTCTGAGTAATGAGTATAATGGCTGTGCTACTTGTTGGAGCTGGCTGAGGTGACAGTAGGAGAATAAAGGCCCCCATGCTGGGTGACAAGATCCTAGTGGTAAAATTAATGGACTAACATGTGGAGATTGTATAAACAATGGGATCCATGAAGCACTGAATTTGTACTTACCTAAATTCTCCGTCTTTTTTCTCGTCTCAACCCACATCAGTAATCAATCTCACTTAAAATATTTGATAGGTAAAGAATAGTTCTTGAATTATGTGAGAGTTTGGAATAAGATGTGCTCAGTGCCCACTTCCCACAGTAGTTATAATTAATTTACAAGCTATCAACTGAGAGAAACTAACACAAAATTAATGAGAATTTTTAAACATCATCCCCAATATCTATGAAGTGAGACACCAAAATAGGTATAGATAGTGATTCCTACAGCAAGGTACAATCCTATTAATATAGTTAGAAAAGATGACTGAGGATG